CCTCATTTCGCCCAAGCACCAGAGATTCTGTTGTGCTCCTCCTTGAATGTTTGATTAGCTTGTCTCCCTCCTGGGACTGCCGCCTGCGGTGGTCGTAAGTGGCTGGCGGCTTGTTTACTTGTATATCTGTTAGAGGCCACGGAGGGAGGGCCCCACCAGCGGGCGGCTCTGGCTCATACGCCTGCCAATCACAGCTTTACCTGGAGTGAACAGATGGTCTCTTCACTTAGACCCATTTCCTCACCGTACCCGGGCCCCCTGCCAGCATGGGCCCTGCTCAGAAACTATGTCCTAATCCTCGCAGCCGAATTAGGGACTCCTTAGAAGGATAGACTATAATAGATGAGCGTGGTGAAGTGTTCACAACCCCCACCCCAAAGCCCCCCTGCTGGACCCCTCCGTGGGGCCATACACACCCAGCCTGCTTTGTTGGGCCTACTTCCATTTGCTGGCCCCCATCCAGGGTTGGGCAACAGAAGCAGGTCTGGGAATGGAGGAAACCAGTGAAGAGGACATCGTGCATTTTGTTTATTGAAGTTAATTGGTGAATGCAGGCCCAGGGAAGCCTATGATTCATTAGCATCCTGATGAATATGCAGCTGCTGAGTATTAAGAAAAATGAAATGGAAAGAAAGAAATCCCCAAAGGAGAGGTTGGAAAAAATCAAGAAGCTCTCTGCAGACATCTGATGCAGGCCCTTGTACCACAACAAAATTTGAATGAGATGAATTCAAGTGATTTTTCACCATTTTCATAGCTGCCATGAAAACCATTCCAGCCTCATCCCTGGAGCCTGAGAAAGGAGCTACTTTGAACTGTTAGCAGCGCAAGCAGGTTGTTAGCAATTGCATAAAAAAGAAGCACCTGTTTTTATCATTGATTTTAAATTCAGATCCTTACACAGTTGGGACAAAGCAACTGTGGGTACAAGGAGGTTTGTGAGTGGGAATGTTACACATGGCTCTGGAAGAAGTTCATTCCTTTATATATTCAGTGAATATTTGTGCGCCTTTGGGATGCATAGAATGCCGTCCCCACCCTGAGCGTGCACAGTGTCCTGGAAGGAACCAATGTGTGTAAACCGTGGCAGTGTTGTGATTAGTAAGCAGAGGTGCTGTGGGGGTGCACTAGCAGAAACTCCGAATGGTGAAGTTGCAGGAAGGGAAAGTCATTTCAGGCAATGGCTAATGGGTTTGGTGATGTGAAATGTTCCAAATTGCTCAGAGTGGAGGGTGGAAAGGGAAGGTGGCAGCCAGGGCCCTGGAAGGCCTTGTGTGCTGTGCGAGGGAGTTTACTTGATCCTGTGGCAGGTGGGGGCTCTCAGGCTGTCAAGCAGGAGTAGGACATCAGATTGCAGTTTCGAAGGTCCCTAGAGACCAGGTGAGAAATGATAGGTGTGGAGTTGCAAGTGATTAGGTAGAGAGGAGATGATAGGTTTGGGAGAGATTAAGGGGGTGGAAGGGAGGATTTTCTGACATGATGTGGCGGACAGAGAGAAGCTGGACTCCAGGCTAACTGTTAAGTTTCTGGCATGGGAACCAGGTGGCTTTTGGTGTCATTCATAGAAGGGGAAGGAGTATGGCGATGTCGGTATGCCTATTTGGAGTTGGATATGCCTCTGGGACAGCCAAGTGGAGGAGAGGGCCTGGAGGTAGTCAGATACATTGTTGGGAGCTCAGGAGACAGGTATGGGCAGAGGATGAACTTGGGGGTTGTGGAAGGTGGATGGTATTGAAAGCCTTGCTAGTCATTCATTCATTCATTCCATGCCCCTTTATTACTCCTATCATGAGGCGTAGGTATTATGGACATGAAGATGAGTGACACATGGCCCAGTCCTCCCAGAGACTACATGGGGAGGCTGAGGTGCAGGCCCTTACACTGTAGGTGCTGTGTGCATGTAACTCAGCCAGGGAAGACTTTCTAGAAGAGGCAGGATATAGGCAGGAAAAAGGACTGGCTACAAGGGTGCCTTTGGGGAATGACAGGTTATACATTGTGAGGTGGTGGGTGGGGGTTTGCAGGAAAGGCCAGTAGGGAAGAGGTTTGGGGGTCCTGGCTTCAGAGCAAGGGTGTGAACGATGGGGTGAGCAATGGTGTGAAGAGAAGAGAGCAAGGCCAGCAACAGAGCCTGGGAACGCTGACCTGTTGGGAATGGCAGGGAAGGGTGGTCAGTAGCACCAGCTGCAGCCAGTAGGTCAAGGGAATTACGGTCTGCCAGGTGCAACTGGGGACCTTGGCAGGAGACGCTTCATTTGATAACTGGGGTAGGAACCAGTGGGCGGAGAAGAGAGTGAGAGGTGAGAAAATGTGCTCAGAAAGTGCTAGCAGCTCTTTCTAGAAGAGCTACATGTCTGTGAAGGGGAGGAAAGAAGGAGGAGGCTGGCTGAGGGATACCTCGTGTTTGAGGGGAGGGGTGTGTATATGTGTGCTGTTTTAAAATGTAAAACTGAGGATGACACGTCCCGGAATGGGTCAGCCCAAGGGAGAGGTCAAAGGTACGAGAAGAGGGTGAGGTACAGAGGGGAATGGGATTGGAAGCCCCACAGAGGCATGGAACCCTTTTCCTGCCTGCCAAATAGGGAGTTTGGAAAGAGGAAGGGTGGTTGTGGATCCATTTGTTGGGGGGGCACTGGAGGAAGTTATTGGGAGGTGAGGGGAGGCAAGTGTGCGGTCAGGGACAGGAGAATTATGAAGGTTTGGAATGGTAAGAATGAGAGAAGGAGGTGACCAGAGCACAGACAGGATGCCCAGTGACCTTGAGGACCTCCCAGAGGCTAGAGAGCTAGACTCTGCAGTGACCCTGTTCACAGGATCATTATTTCCTCCAGTGTCATTCAAGTTCCTAAGTTTGAGAAAAGATATGATGCTTGGTTATGGAGAGCCAGGGTGGGGTTTTGGTGTGGGTGTGACACAGGGGTGAAGGGAAGGGGGCTGAGGCCCCCAGCTGAAGACTGTAGTGATAGAGCCCCTGGTTTAGGCTGAACAGGAGGGCAGTCAGTGCTGAGGTCTCAAGGAAGTCAAACACCAGGTTTTCTTGAACCCATGTCCACAATTCCATTATCATCATGCAAAGCATGGCTGTCTTTTCAAGAGCCATCCACTTTGTGTTTTTTCACCGCATCCAAATGTTACAGAAGTCTGAAAGTTAAACTGTCAGTGTGTGGGGTGAGGGGGCCTGGCTGGCTCAGTCAGTAGAGCATGGGACTCTTGGTCTCGAGGTTGTGAGTTCGAGCCCCAAGTCAGGTGTAGAGATTACTTAAAAATAAAATCATAAAAAAAAGAAAGAAAAACAGAAAATATGTGTCCCAGGTCTGAATTAATCTCCTTCTGCCTCACTTCCCTGTAGGAAAGCAGTAATTGCAAGCTAGGAGGCCATAAACTCCTTAGTGAACCTTTGTCCTGAATGCTCAGGAAGGCTTTAGTTTGTCTATTGTTTTCTAGCTGACGTAAGTCTTTGCTATAGATTATCTGTCTCAGAGACACACTTTCCCGTCTTGATAAATGCCTTGACCACACACACGTGTCTTGCCTTGGAGGCTGATGAACTTGCATGCTTTGTATGAGGCCAGAGGAGGGCGGAATAGATCAGATGGAAGGCGTCCTTCATTCATTCAACAAACAATGGAAGATTTACTATGTGGTGAGTGCTGGGAATTCAGAGATAAACAGGACACAGCCTTCTGGGGAGATAGGGATAGAATCTGTGACAAGCACATGCAGTGATAGAGACAGGCACAGGGTCATGGACAGCTTCTCAAGGGAGGCATTGGTGTGGGCTCGGTCTCAGAGGTCAAGTCAGAGAGCAAGCACAAAGCCACAGAGGTAGGAAGCGATCTGGCAAGGAGTACTCAAGGACCAGGACACAGCTGAAGTCTTGGGCCTGAGAACTTTCATGCAGGCAAGAACTCTGGCCACCCAGGCTCCTGTGCTCACGGGTTTTACTGTGCTTGTATCCTGAACCAAAAGGAAGAGCTTAGGCAGTCAGGAAACCACCAAGAAAAATAGTTTTATGGAGAAAGCATCCAAAAATCAAGATGTAATTTTCTGAATAATCAGTGCCTGGCTTGTGGTCTTGGCCAACTTTACGGTTGCTTGTGAACTGGTGTATACAGGAACTGTTCTGTTGGCACCTCTGAGTCGCAGCCATTAAGAGCTGGAAGGACCTCAGAGGGCAAAGAAACTGAGGACCCAGGGGCAGCAGGACATGGGCTGGGGAGTCAGGCCAGCTGGGTGCCACACCCAGCTCTATCACACATTGGCCAGTGACCCTGGGAGAGTGACACACCGACTCTGCGTCCTCAGCTATGAGGTAGGTAAAGATGATTGAGTGGACCAACTCCAAACCATGGTCAAGAGGATGCAGCAAGACAAGGTGTGCAGCTTAGCACCGTGCCTGACAGACAGAGTGCTTACAGATCAAATAAAGCAGAGATACAGAACAAAAAAAAAAAAAGAAAGAAGAAGGAAGGGAGGGAGGGAGGGAGGGAGGGAGGAAGATGTACCTTAAACATTTTATCTTAATTTAAAACACCAAGGGGTCTGCTAATAAGAGTGCAACTTTTTTTTTTGCATAAGTTTCATTCATATTGCATTACCCACAATTTCCACTTCTTTGTTTTTAAATATTTTATTTAAAGTAGGCTCTACACCTAACGTAATCTTTGCCCCAATCTATAGTTGTTGATACACTATAAAGAGTATAACTGACACTCATTTCAAAGCAACAAGTTGGTGTAATAACATGATAGTGGGCTTTGGAGTCCAGCAGATACCCCTGTTCTGGAACTTTAGGTGGATTTTGTTTGTACGTCTGGTTCTGTTTCCTCAGTTATAAAATGGAGATGCTGTCCCTGCCTTCTCAGGGCAGTGTGTGAATGAAATAAGCAAGCGTCGCCAACAGGAGACACACAACACTGGTTCCCCTCCCATCATAGAGCTAATTCAGATCAGCACTCTTGGGAGAGTTCGGTGTTGACCTCAGTTTCCTGTACTTTCAGAAGTCAGGTTTCTAGCCCCTCTATGGCCACCTCCAGTGCCAACCGCCGGCTGATGATGCTAGAAGGGAAGTCAGTATCCTACTTTTCCTCTCTGGAGTCAAGCATCGACATCCTGAAGAAGAGGGCCCAGGAGCTGATTGAAAACATCAACGAGAGCAGACAGAAGGACCACGCACTCATGACCAACTTCAGGGACAGCCTCAAGATCAAGGTGACAGATTCTCCCACACACTGCAAAGCCCCAGGGGTCAGGGGGAAGGAGTCCTATGTAAAGGGTGAAAAAGAAAGGGAATGAGCTGCTGCTGAGTGTCTTTGAGGCTCTAGGCCTGTTGCTCAGCAAGCTGCAAATAGTACCTCATTTCCCCCTTACAACAGTCCTGCCAAGAGATCAGACCTGTTTTATAGATGGTAAAGTAAGGTTTGGAAATAATTTGCCCAAATGAAAGAGCCAGGACGAGGAACAAGGGTCCATCTGCACCCGCAGCCCACCCCTCTTATTTCATGCCAGGGCTGATGGCCATGGGGGTAGGGGCTGAGGCACAGCCTGCATTGTCACACCCATTTGTCCTCCAGAAATTGGTTTGTGGGGCACCCGGCTGACTCAGTCGGTAGAGCATGCAACTCTTTTTTTTTTTTTTTAAAGATTTATTTATTT